CTGGCACAGAGCCCAGGTACTCTATTCCTTTCTCTAGTTAAAAAAGGCAAACACATACAAGTTATAGCCTGGATAGACACCCCAGTATCCTTGAGAAGAATCTGTCCCTTTCTCTCCACTGTGACCAGTTAGAGATAAAAATGGCAATAATTATTATTAATGATAGTAACAATAATAGTAGTAGCTAATATTTCTATAGTGCTTTAAGGGTTGCAAAGCATTTTACAAATATTATCTTATTCAGTCCTCACAACAGCCCTGGAAGATAAATTCTCTTATTATCCTCAATTTATAGATGTGGAAACTGAGGCAGACAAGTTGAGTGCCTTGCCCAGGATTACAATAGCTAGTAAGTGTCAGAGACCTGATTTGCACACAAGTCTTCCTGACTCCAGGTCCAGTGCTCTATCCAGTTATGTTCAGCATCAAGATGTGAATTTCAAATCTACTAGTTAAGTTCCTCCAAATTGTTGTAAATGGTAACTCAGCAGGCCCCAGAGCCTCTGGCCAAATAGAGGTGGCCCCCAACGACTGGGAGGCTGTGTGAGCGATCCTACTCATTGCTGCTGGCCAGGAGAACCCCTCACTTCAGCAGCTTACCAGCTGACGCTTGCATCCGGTCTGAGTTGTCTCCACAGGGAGATGCACTAATTAATAGAACACACTGATGGATCGTGGCAGAGAAACAGGAAGTACGGCGTGCCTGATCATAAGAAAACAGGGCCCATTGCCAGACTGGCAGCCTGCTGGCATTATCCTGGAGCCAGGCAGAATGCTTAGGGATGTGACCCTTTCCCTGAGGTAAAGCCGACTTTACAAAAGAACAACCCTGGGCTTGTCCTCTGGCTCTGTCCCCCAGAGCCGAGACCTTGCAGCCCACAAGTCTCTCTGCCCATCAGTCATTCATTTAGCAGCTTTGACCGGGCCTGGGAGAGCTGGGAGAGAGACCAGGTGTCAGTGGGGATCAGGGTAGGAGTCTTCCTTTGCTGAGCATGACGGCAGACTCTCCTGATGCCAGGCTGGTGGGCATGGTCTCCAGGAATTCAGAGCACCACTCCTAAGAAAACAAAGAAGTGGGTGCTACACACATGCGGCGCACACACACATGCACACACACATGTGCATATGCACATACCCGTGAGTTCAAGCACGCATGCACACATGCACTTATTCTCTTCCTCCTTCTCTAAACACTCTTCATTCTTGTACTTTGCTTGTTCCTCATTCTCTGCTTAATTTGGGCATTACTCAATAGTCTGACCACAGTCCTCTTGTCTCCCCTCTCTGCACTCTGCTGGGTCAATCTCTTTCACTCCCATGGCTCCATACCTCACAGAACCATAGACCTAGACCTTAAAGATGCCTCAGAAACTATTCTAGTCCAACTCCTCCATTTTACAGTTCAGAAAACTGAGGCTCAGAGAGATTAAATGATTGCCCAAGGTCACACAAGTGCCACAGATAGGATTTGAACTCAGATCTTCTGACTCCTTAGCTAGTGTTCATTCCACTGTATACTTCCCACATCTCTTGTTCAGTCATTTCAGTCACATACAACTCTTTGTGATCCCATTTTGGGTTTTCTTGGCAGAGATACTGGAGTGGTTTGCCATTTCCTTCTCCAGTTCATTTTACAGATGAGGAAACTGAGGCAAACAGAGCTAAGTGACTTGCCCAGGGTCATACAGCTAGAAAGTGTCTGAGGCTGGATTTGAACTCATGTCTTCCTGACTCCAGGCCCAGAGCTCTATCCACTGGACCACTAGCTGCCACATCTGGTCCCATATTTATAATACTAGTCCTGACTTGTCTTCTGAACTCTAAATCCACATTTCTAATTGGCAGGGAGAGTGTGGACCTGGAAGGCAGGAAGACCTTTCTTCAAATTTTGCTTTTGACACTAGTTATGTGACCTACAGCGAATGATTGAATTAGCCTCTAAGCCTCAATTTCCTTTATGTATGAAGTGAGAATAATAACAACACCTACCTCACAGGTTTGTTGTGAGAGCCAAATGAAATTCAGTAAATGATACATAGATGGATGGATAGGTGGATCGATATTTTTGCTGTTTAGCCATAACCAACTCCTCATAACACCATTTGGGTTTTCTTGACAAAATATGGAGGGCTTTGCCATCTCCTTCTCCAACTCATTTTACAGATTAGGAAACTGAGGCAAACAGGGTAAAGTGACTTGTCCAGGGTCACACAGCTAGTGTCTAAGACCAGATTTTAACTCAGAAAGATGAATCTTCCTGACTCCAGGCCTAACATTCTATCCACTGAAATACCTAACTGCCCTGCACATATTTATAGATACATATATGTATATATAAAGCACTCTGAAAAAGTTAAATTGCTATAACTAGCATTGTAAAGGTTAGTAGTAGTGGTATTATACAGGACATCTCTATCTGGGTATTAACACTTCAGACTAACACTTCAAGACTTGTCCAAAGCCAAGCTTTCTCCCTTCACTATGTCTGCCTGTGGAATCAGCCCTTGCCCTCTCTCCCATGATTAGAATCAAGGGTTACGGTGGCTTTTTCCTTCCCCTCATCTCTCACATCAAAGAACCACCATGTCATTAGAACTCCACCTCTGCATAGCCCCCCAGCCACCAACCTCTTGACAACATGATGTAGAGGAAATTACCTTGGGCTCAGAGTCAGAAGACCCAAGTTCGCCTTGTTGAGCATATCCTCCTTCTGCCTTTCCACCATTCTCTATCTTTTCATTTCCTTTCAGGCTTTTTCTTGGCCTTTCCCCTTGCCCTAATTCCCTCTCCCCAGTACCTGGAAGGACCCCCTAAGCAACACAGAAGTTTTTCAGCTTATATTATTCTATTTCTCTCACTTTAAGATAAAATTCCTTCCCCTTTCTTGGCCCCCACCTTGGACATACATATTTCATATGGTCATTATATGCATGACATTAAAACTCTTACAAATCTCCAATGGTTAATGTCAGAGACCTGGGAAATTCTTAACATCCTCAGGGATGTAAGTGGATATTTGAGCCCCTACCTTTCACAGGGCATGTCACAAAGGAGAAAAGCCAGTGTCTGCTAACAGAAGGGAGGGGGGAGAGGAGAGGAGAAGAGAGAGAGAAGATGGGAGGAGAGGAAAGAAAAGAAGAGATGCGGAGAAGAGAAGAGAAGAGAAGAGAAGAGAAGAGAAGAGAAGAGAAGAGAAGAGAAGAGAAGAGAAGAGAAGAGAAGAGAAGAG